AAGGTGAATCCCAGAGGAAGTTTTTTATCTTTTATGCCCATCTTCTCCAGGAAATCAGCCAGGCAATCAACTATGTGGTCAAACAACTACAGAAGAGAGAGAAGGTCAGTTTACTTATTAAGCATGTCTGAAAAAATTGCAGGATTCATTTTCAGCATAGTGTGTGTATTGTACTTGAATTGTAGATGTTTTATTGCCCCTACAAACAGTTCTCCAAGCCAATAGCTTCAGGGGATTAAACTTGAACATTGATAACTTCCTGAATTGGCAGTCCTTTGTCTACACCTCTGAGACATCTACAGTCGCATTTTCAATTATCAATAGGACTTAGACTGCCTTTGGTTTGCAGGGGAGTCAAAGCTCTCAAATTAATTAAAGAAAAAAAAAACACTATGTTGCTGTAAATTGTTCTCTTTGTTTGAAAGCACTTGGCACTGCCACAAGCTGTGCTTCAGTACAGAAGCAGATTTGTTTTTCCTCGCTATTTGTTGAGACTGAATGTTGGTTGTAGAGGTAATAAAGAGTGCCTCCTGGGTGCTGTCAGTATGAAGCTATAGACAGACTACACAGAGGCCGATGTTCCTGATGTGCTCCTTCTGGGTTCTGTCATATTTGTCCAATGCATGTTCTTAATTTGCCGTTTACGTCCAGTCTGCCTGTATGTAAATACAGCCCTCTAGTATCTACCCATCCTACATACGCATATCCAGTGAGGCATTTTACATTTATTAAACAGCAGGGCATTAATACCACAAAACACAAAGCTCTATGTAATGCCAAGTTGATAAAATGCAAACAGAAACAACTATAGCGCCTTAATACATAGTGTATATACATATGTTTATATTTTAGAATATCAGTTTAGTCACTTGGCTGTGGAACAAGCACCAACAGTGCACTGCTGTCCTAGTGTTTCATTAGGGTTTCTTGTTTTTCCTCCTCTTTGTGCAATTGGAGTTTCTGTTTGCCCACAGAGGCATAATCTGGCACTCATTGTGTGCCAATGGACAATCAACAAGTAAAGACATGACCGCTGATATCTCTGCCTAATTTAATAATTTTCTTGGCAATGGCTATGTGGCTACATTTATTAAATACTAGTAAAGACATCCTAATCAGTCATAGTTATGATACTGCCTAAATATGTGTTTAGTTAGAACTAAAACACAAATCAAAAGCAGCGTAAGGTGTTCCTCCTCCCATGCATTTTCTCCATTTCTGTCCCTTCACACACCAGGACAGACATCCATTCATCTCTGTCTGCTCTATACTCTCAGATATGCCGTAACATTTTTGGCATGTGTCACATTAAATAACACACTAAATCTGACACAAAATCAATGCATTCCTCCTCCTAGGAAAAGCTTCACTGTGTGCACTGCGAGGGGAGTAATCTCATGGATATGCTCAATGTCTGATTATAGCCTACAATTATTTCATTAAACACTGTGCAAACTGTATGTAAACAATTTCTTAGCTAATCATTCATTTTCATCACACTGAGGGATGCTGTGTACACTTGTTAGTTACACAACATTTGACAAATTGATTTGAGATTTGTCAGTAAACTACATTCTGAGACCACACAGAGATCTGCAGGTTCCTTCTAACTGGTCTCCATTGTTCTTGTTGCATCTTGTCAATTTGTGTGATTGTAAATTCATACATGTATAGCACAGGTAGGTGACAGGCTCCAACTGCTTTGTTGTGTACAGTACATATTAGCTGTGTGTAATGTATGCTTCCTACCTCTGATCCACTGCCTCTCATGATGTGTTCAGGAATGGCATAAATCTGATTTTCCATTTCCACCTTTTGCTCATCATTACCCATGACTTTGACCAGGAGCACTCGGAAGGTGGCTCCACCAAGGTCGAGAGACAGGAACTCACCTTGCTCTTTGAAAAGAAAAAGAAAAATTATAATCACATCTCTCTCTGTCTCTGTCTCTCTCTCTCTCACACACACACACACAAAGTTTATCCTCATAAAACATGAAGCACTTTTTAACGTTTTTTTTATCATTTACATCTGTGTTTACATTACATAGCAGTGTTCTTCTTATGCCCCTATTGCTGGTGTATTGCCACCTCCAGTTGTCAGTCAGTGAAAACCTTCCCCAGGAAAGTATACTGCAACTAATAATTCTTTTCCTAGTAGATAAATCTGCAATTATTTTATCAATTAATTTAAAATTCAGTTTGTCTGCAAGATGTACAAAAAATGGTCAAAATAAACAAGGCCCATCACAGTTTCTAAGAGGCCAACACTCCAAAACATACATATATTATATTTATCAAGATACTGAAGCTATTCAGGAAGTATTCAGACCCCTTCTGTAAATTGCCATTGTTGCCCATAAAGCTATACTCACTAGCCATAACAACAAACTGAAAATATGTTTTTAGTATTTTTGTAAAGTTTTTTCTGTTTAAAAATGAAAAACTGAAATATCTGATTTGCAAAGTATTCAGATCCTTTGGTGTGGCACCCCAAACTGTGTTCAGATGCATCCTGGTTGCTTTAATTTTCTTCATGATGTGTCTGAACTGATTGGTGCCCACTGAAGGAGAACCATCTGAACAGCACTCCGTCAATCAGGCCTTTATGGTGGAGTGGCTAAATGGAAGGCACTTTGAGTAAAAGGCTGTTTCATACCTTTTCAAATCAAGACATGCGTTTAAAGGAAATTGTCAGAAAATTGCTATGTCACTATTCTCTAAAAAACTTTCAACCACTTTGCACCTCTGGCCTCACCTCAGTCACTGAGGTTAAGGTAAGTGTCAGACACTGAGAGTGGAAAGTCAGCTGCATTGTTGTGAGTGAATTACCAGAAATACAGTAACCATTATTTTGCAGCACAGAACTACTGCCCACTTTTCTGTATGAGCTTTTTCAAGGTAGATAGTTGGAGTGGACCTGTCACATCTCTAAACCTGAACAAAAAAAGACCATCAGTGTACAATACCACTGGAAGACCGTAAGAGAATATAATGACTTGGCACTGCACACAAATAGAACACAATGTGCTTTTGCAGTGAGAAGTTCAGAACTACATTTACTACTTTGTAAATGAAAGCAACCAGAGCTCAACCTAAAATAGCAGTCTGATATGAATGGGTCTAACACAAGGCGACATTGTGTTCAGTGGACTACTTTATATACAGATTTCCAGTATTAAAGGGCTATAACCTGTTCCATCAGGAGTGGAGCGCACAAATGTGGGCAGCATCTTGACAGCAGCTGTGGGGTTGGTGTCTCTACACAGGCCTTTGTCCATCTCTCGTCGAAATCTTATTGACACATCCATCAAAGTCTCGTCTGACAGCTGGAAACATTGCAGGTATTTGTCCACCTAAACCATGTTGGAGAGGAGAAATCGGTGCATTTAAATTAAGAAATCAGATATGGGACTACAGCAGGAGTAAATAATTAAAATAGTAAATGCAGGGTCTTTCCTGCCATAGAAAGGCTTAGCCACGGCACCTACAGCTGAACTCTACTCTGAACTCTACTGAACTCTGAAGTTTACATATACTTAGGCTGAAGTCATTAAAACTGATTTTTAACCACTCCACAGATGTCATGTTAACAAATTCTCATTTCAGCGAGTCACTTAGGACATATTTTATGCATAGCACAAGTAATTTTTCCTTCAGTTGTTTACAGATAGATTATTTCACTTATAATTGACCATATCACAATTCTGTGGGGTCAGGAGTTTACATACACTCAGTTGACTGTGGATGGATTTTAAGGCCCAAATTTAACAGCAGCTGGGAAAAGGAGCCCTTCAAATCAGTGGTCCCCAACCTTTTTATCACTGCGGACCGGTCAACGCTTGACAATTTTACCGCGGCCCGGGGGGGCGGG